ACTGATTGTATAACTGCTCTGCCTCAGTCCGCGGATTTGGAAGTGGGGTCAATAAATAATTACGGCATGGGTAACCACTATCACCTAAAAACAAATTTAATGAATCACATGGTAATAACGAGGGTATGCTTTTCATGTCGAATTATTTACATTAAAACTGACCTAGTAAAATGGAATTTGGGAATCGATTATCCTCAAAATATGTGGGCATATTGCTCATATTAAATATTGTTGCATCATGGCTTGATCCAGGCCAACGTGCAACAACATTTATAAATTTCATATTTGCATCGCAAATACCTTGCACATTTATTGAAAAATAACTCTTTCGGTTACGAAATACCTCTGCATCAGTGCCTCCTAAAATTAAATTCTGTTCAAATTCAAAATACATTTGTAAATAATACCTGGAGAAACTATTTTCACATGTGTACAATCAATTGCTCCAATCACATGTGGAAATCGTGCAATATCGTAAAAATTACGCATTGCTTTCGACCTTTCGTCTTCAGTAACTGGCAATTTAACAAACCTGCTGTACAAGCTGGCAATAGCTCTTGAAACCTTAGGAATAATTCTAACAGCAGTTGTCGAATGCATCCCCATGTAATCTGCAATGCTGTCCAAATGGCTACCCGTAGCATAGTACCGCAAAGCAGTTAATAATTGCGAAATTGGAGATATACATTGATTTCTAGAGAAAAAACATTCATTGATATGAAACAGTATATTTGAAGAATTAAATAAATATACGCATTCATACTTACGTCTCAATCGGAAACTCCAGCAGTCCTTCAATTAACGGCAATAGAACCATTACAGTCTCCTTGGTTAGTCGAAATTTAAAAAAAAATGAGATCAACCAAATCATGAAAATGATTTGCACGATTATTAATCCGCCTTGGCACGCCAAATTCAATTATCTCCAATTCATGTATATCGTCGTCATCGTCCCATATCAAAGAATTCATAAAGAACGCCATGATTTACCTTATTAAATATCCGCCGAACAATAATGAACCAAAACGTGAATTCAACAATCTGTTTTTGGTTATGTATGTATTTGTAACCCGTCAACCAACCCGCGACGCTTGCGTATAGGTCCCACTTATGGCTAAGCCGAACCACGGGTACGGCTTAAGCTAAGTGCCACTTAAACTGGTTTAAGTGGCACTTAAACTGCGGTGCAGTCAACTTAAATTATTAAGTTCCACTTAACTCCTAAGCCGAAGCGGTGCAGTTGGCGCTAAGATCATCGATAAGTCATCGAAAATAAAAAAAAACAAATGCTCTGTCTTCCCAAGAAA